ATGTCTTTTGCCAGTCAAAGAAGTCGGCTAGGAGTCAGACAGACGACTGTCAATCCACTTGACCGATCAAACAGTCCTGGCAGGCGCGTGGCCGGCCGGCAACATTTGGGTCGCTCTAACAGGGTCGAAAACTATGCGGACGTCAGCTGACTTCTGCAAAACATCTTACAAAACTAATACTGCGATAATAATATCTGATCAAACACTACGATGCACCATTCCTTGTTTGGGTTAGTAGGGATTTATCAAAACGTTTTCTCTAAAACAAATTAGATATAGTAAGAAGTAACAATGGCACCATATCATTAGTATGCCAACAACCAACTCGTCTGGTGGCAAACCAAAGGTAAAGTAGGCTCTGACATCTCTGAAAATGCCCGAAACTAGATCCTTTGCAGTAGGGGTCTGTGACAGAAAAAAATGAAGAATAGACCAATAGACTTAAAGCCTATAGTGCGACTGCTATTTCACAAGAAGATAAAGATCAATCCAGGTAAAACAACATGCAGTGAGAAAAGCGATCGTTGATCACTTTTCCACGCAAATCTCTAGAATTATCACAGAACGCTGATGACACAGCCTTCTCTACGCTAAATTAATGGCGTGTAGTGGTTTGTGCAGGTGCAAAGCGTGCGACGCACAGGCTACACTTCAACCTGGGAATCCTATAGGTCGAGTCACGAGTCCCGTTCCTATTAGAATTCTGTCACTCCCCAAATGGGGCGAAGTGAGGACCTAGTTCTCTTGATCAGCATTATCTCCAGGCCAGAAGAACATTAAATTTATTGTAGTGACAGAATTGTATCCAGAATGGATTTTGTGATACGGACCAATACGATTCGTATGTTAGCGGTCTTATGGGTCTTATAGTGATTAGTAGTAAAATAGATATGATGACGTGTCATCGGATGAGAACAGTTGGAACTTTGCGCATCAAGCGCATCAACTGTTCGTCAATTCCCGATCAACTCATCGCATCATGTTTTGTTTACCTTGAATTGATATATTATCATCTAGTGTAATCTTGAGCGTTCCCCCAAGAATAATAATATTCTGTCAGATTAACAGTCGCAGTTACGCACCATCAGCTAACTGCCGCCCTTTTTTCCACAGAAAAACGTCCTCTGCTTCCCTCAGAAGCAATTTCACAAGTCTCTGCCAATTCATTGGCATTTCGGCCCATTGCAACACCCACACTTGCGATCTGGCCCAGTCCTTTCCGACACCTACAGTCAAAGACCAGAGTTTTACCTCTTTTCCTCTGGTTTATCAATCTCAAAGGTTTTATAGCTGCCGCGTTTCAAAGTCGACTGAACAGCTCTATTGGAAACTGAAAGGAGTCAAGCGCTGGGCATCCGTCGAACCGTGCTTCCCCCACTTGTCGTCTTTTGCTTCTGGTGTTGAGAAATCCACCACAAGACAACTCGTGAGGTTCATTGCCCGGCTGTACTGCAATTAAATGAGGTGGTTCTCGTCCCTAAAACCAGACAGCGGCACACAGATCGATTTATTTTAATTGACTGAAACTTGTTCTGGATTTTGTACGCTTTTGAGTACAGTTTCCCGCAGTTCTTCCCAGCACCCCCGGAGTTGATCGTCGTTGCGTGCACAACAACTTTCGGCGTGCTGCATTCTCTTTTCCACCTGACAACCAGCCAGTTTTCCACCGGGCACTTGTTAGTCGTTGGAGCACCAGGACGCCTATACCCGTAAAGGTCAAGGGGTTTCATCCAGCCCCTTGTAGTCTTCTGCAGTCAGTCTCCTGCAGACTCAGAAGACCAATCTCGTTTTTGCACCTGCAATCGACCAACTTCGCTTAGATCCTTTTCACTTTGCTGGTTGTTGGGTACAGCGGTAACCGGATCTACGAAGGTCAAGGGAGATTAAAAGTCCATAAAACACGGACGACTCCTTGTTCCAATTTTTTTGGGGACCTTCATTTCTGTCCTGGCCTGCACTGACATCCAAGAAAACCGGGAAAGCCTCACAGCAATCCTTGGGGCTAGTGTGACCGTAGGGAATTCACTAGTTTGGAACGTCGACATATTTGAGCCCTTCTCTTTTAGGGAATCACTCGACCGACCTTTGCGCTAAGAAGTTTTGGGACAGGCCTCGTCCCTAGAGTTTTCGCTCTTGTGAGAAGACTCTTCCCTTACCTTTTCGCCCTCAACAACAAACCAGACATGCCAACTACTCGGAGCGGTACAAACTCTACACCTGCTCCTACTGCTGGTGCTGCCAATCAACCGGTCAGCCCTGCAACTCCAACTGTTGGCACCACTGTCGGTACACCTGCCAATGCTACCGTACAACCTGGTGTTACTTTTGCAAGCCTAGAGTTTGCTGTCACGACCCTCTTTTGAGCGTCTCTCGACAGTCCACTCATGCTTGCTCTTTGTTGTGATGGATGTATTAACTTCATGGACCTCCTCTCTTACAGTGAGGCTGAGCTCCTGGAACTGAAGTACAATGCACCCATTCTTGACGCACAAGGGGTGGATACTGGCCAAACTCAGCTTACTCAGCTTGAGCGGCCCCATCGTGGTACTCTCCGGGCTTTACTTGGGTTTGCTTACCTTTGTCAAAACGTCCATTGCGATCCGATCACCCCGATCAATTGCATGAACATCGACGTACAAGCATTCCTGAATTATCAATGTTGTGGTGACTTTATAGTTTTTAATAACTCTCCTTTACCACAACCTCTTGTATCTAAGCCTGATCGTCGTACACCTGCTGATTCGTTCCAGAAGAGCTTGAAACTCGATCCTGAAGCATACCCAACTCTCAACACTGATGAAGAGTGGGACAGCTTCCATCGAACCTTTAGTTCCACTGCACGTGTCCATAACACACTGAACGTATTGGATCACTGCTATGTGCCCAAATCTGTGGACGAACGGGACCTCGTCCAGAAACAGCAGGTCTTCATGTACACCATCTTCCTGCACAAGTTGCAGACCAACACTGGCAAATTTTTGGTGCAAAAGTACCAAGAGACCTTCAACGCCCAGCAGATCTGGGCTGAGCTCTCCGACCACTGTACTACATCTGCAGTGGCCGAAACGCAAGCTAGTGATTTGATGACTTGGTTGACTACCAAGAGACTCATCAAATCGGACTGGACCGGCAAACATGAGGCCTTTGTCCTCAATTGGCTGGAACAAGCTCGTACCTACAACGAACTCGCTACTGACAAAATGGCCGACTCACAGCTTTGTATACTACTTCGGAATGCCATCCAACCGACTCCGCATCTGCGACAGCTCAAGACTAATTCTAGACTCTTGTCCGCGCAGACCGGTAAGTGGTTGGCCTACCTCCAGTACATTGAGCTTGTCAAACAAGCGGCTCTGCAACATGATAGAGCCATGGAAGGAAAGACCATTGCCCATGGTAATCGTGAGCACTGCTCCACGATAGCTACAATCTAGATAACAATTACATAGATGATTCTGTTACTCCTGATTTTGACTTGGACACTGATCGACGTATTATTGAAGTCTTCCAAGCCACTTCTCATTGTCCCACACGTCCTAGACTTGACAATGCTACCTGGCAGCAACTGGATGACCAAGCTTGTCGTGCCTGGCACCAACTCCCAGACGCGGCCAAGGCCACCATCCTCAAGGGCACGTCCTCAACCCCACCAACTGGGCCTCCAGACAGTCATCTAGCCACCGTACGCAACACATTTGCACCCAAACATGGGGAGCTACAACGGCCAATGAGCGAGGAATCAGACCGCCAAGCTACAGTAGACGTGATCAGTTATCAGTATAGTGACACTACTAGTCCTACTACTATTGTTTCTTCCGCTCTACCACCTAGTATTCGCGCGTCTGACGGTGTCAATATACTCAATGGTAGTAGCGCCACCCAACTTGTTGGCACACAAAACACCATGAGTAGACCGACACTAAACAAGCGTGACATTGCACATGATGTCATACTCGACTCCAACCTTGAATGGGACCAAACTCTATTGGATCCCAACATTAACAAGCTGGACGAACAGGGCAAAGGTGAGAGACCGTTTGATAGAGTAGGCATCCTAAAGAGTAATAAAACTATTTTAACTCTGAATGAAGCCTCTGACAATGAGACTCTCGACTGACTAGATGATTTCGACACTGCTATGGCAATGCCATACTTGTGCCACACTCGTCTCCAACCTTGACTAGGACCAAACTTTATTGGACCCAAACATTGGCGATCTTGGCCGTAGTGTCTCTGCCGACAGCACTAGCCACGGCTTGCTCCTTCAGTTGCCGGAAGCCAACATGGGGAGTGATTCTGATGCTCTTCTTCCTTAACAAAATGAGACTGACGAATACCCAGTGGATTTGGACAATGGGGAGTGACAGTCGAACCAAGCAGATGTCCACAGTAGTAGTGGTAGTCGAACGCTAACTACTATAAAGAAGTCTACTCTAGAGGATGCTACTGCTTTCTTTCCTGACTTTGTACTGGAAGACGACTTGCTCCAATAGTTGCAGGGTACAAGTATGGGGAGAGATGATGCTACAAGTGCTCTTCCTCCTGTACATGATGGAAACAAGTCAGATAGAGAGTCCGACCAAACAATAGATAAGATAGCCACTAATGAATCTATTTTAGTTTGTACTCTTGGGATCCTTGAAGCTACCCTGGATTGTACTCTTGACTCCCTTGGGCCACTCGACTTTGATCTGATTGATCATGGATTGAGCACCGCTAACATTCCAAATGCCAAGCTCATTCCTAAGCATTGAACTGATCACGACCAAAGTGTATTGGACTCCACCACAATTGGAACTGAAGAAGCCAAGCCGACATTCAAACAAGTAGATAGTCATAATTGTAATAGAGCCTTACTCTTTACTACTATGAACGGCACCTCTGCTTTAGATTGTGCGATCGACTTCTTCCAATCCTTTGTCTATGCAAATCCAATAGATGGACTTCATGAAGTCCATCATTCGCCAACTTCTGAACTAGGCTAGACTTGAACGTAGCATGGAAGATCCTATCAACCTGGATTGCACCAGTGCAACTCAAGTCGCACCGCCAGAGCTTGTGGTCTATCAGTCTCACAAGCAACCCTCAACTCAAGAGGCGCGCTTTGAGCTGATGTCGTATCAATCTCACAAGCAATCCTCAACCCAAGAGGCACGCTTTGATGATGATAATCGAAAGCCTTACGGGAGAAATGGTCCACCACCTTGCAATAGCTTTGAGCACGGATTACAACCAACTGAGGTTGAACTGAAGGACCCAAGCTCGGCTGTGAAGTCTTGTGAACGTGATTGGGAACGCCTTCGCAGCTACTTTGCATGGTTGCCCAAGCTAGTCATCCAGAAGAACTCGGAACACTACATGGAAGACTCAACTCAACTAGCTACGATAACTACTATAGATATTACAGTACTGGCGCCATCCAACTTTGTATCTACTTCTAGAGCTAGGCACCAAATCCGAGCCCCGCAAATCTGCAGCTTCCTACTTGCTGGAAAGCACAGATGCAGCACACACCATGGTACTGAATCGCCAACCTACAATGATAGTATCATTGAGCGGTCTCCAGGCCTATACCACCTTTGTGCTTGTAGCGGAGCTAACCAAAGTCTTGACTTCGATTGCACAGGCACACATGAGTTTGCTACAACTACAACCAATGGTATAGATCTTTATCACTGTGCATTGGCAGTGAATGACTCCCTCCATTGGACATATATTGATGACTGGCAAACTTTGCCAAAGTGTCAGCATCAACATCCAATTGGACGAAAGCAATTTGAAATAAGACTACTAGCTAAAACTAAAATGGTAAAAATCATCCACTTAGCAACTACCAACGCTTTCTACATGAAGCAGTTGACCGCTTCAACTGAAGACCAAATGGATTCTGACCATATTGTTGCTCAGATTCATGGGGACCAGACAACTGGTCTGCAACCACTGCTCAAAGGCAATGAGCCACACCTTGATGTTTTGCCTCGGCATATAACTAAACGGTATAAGACGACATTGTACCACCTACACATATGTCATGCCTTGTTGCCATTAAGTCATGTGAACGAAGTTTTTCACCTGAAAAGGTTTTCTTCGCCTCATATTGATGGAACCAAGACTACTGAGACTGTTACCAACAGCCCATCAAGACCTAATACAAAACCGCACAAGCGACATGTTGTACTGTCGTTCCACCGTGTAAGAGAGGCTATTGCATCCAATACGCTCTCCTTTCTACACATCAAAGGTGCTAAACACCCGGCAAATATCCTTAGCAAAAGATATCAACAAATATGGCTACAGCTACGTCCACTACTTTCCTGAGTAGATGACACAACTGAGGAGGATTAGGTCCTCACTCACTCACCCATTTGGGGAGTGACAGAATTGTATCAAGAACCGGTTTTGTGATACGGATCAATACGATTTGTACGTTAGCGGTCTTATGGATATAATAGTAATTAATAGTAAAATAGATATGATGACATGTCGTCGGATGAGAAGAGTTAGTACTTTGTGCCTCAAGCGCACCAACAGTTTGTCAATTCCCGATCGAATCATCATGTCATGTTTTGTTTACCTTGAATTGATTATCATCTTCTTTTAGACTTACGAGCTTTCCCCCCAAGAATAATAATATTCTGTCAGAAGACTTGCCAGATCTTGCTACTGAAGAAGATTGAGGTATGCAGTTGATTCAAAGCTGCAGAAAAGAAAGGGGTTCATTTGGATTGCTCGATCACGTCATCATGGACAGTGGTTGCACAAACACCACCATTTGTAATGGTGAGCTCATGCATGGACTATGTCAAGCTTAGAAAGAGCTCAATATGCACCCTAAAGTGGGCAGAGTGAGGACCTAGTCCTCTTGATCAGCATTATCTCCAGACCAGAGGAACATTAAAGTTCATTGTAGTGACAGAATTGTATCAAGAACGGGTTTTGTGATACGGACCAATACAATTCATATGTTAGCGGTCTTTTGGGTCTTATAGTAATTAAAATAGTAAAATAGAAATGATGATGTGTCGTTGGATGAGAACAGTTGGAACTTTGCGCATCAAGCGCATCAACTGTTTGTCAATTCCCAATTGACTCATTGCGTCCTGTTTTGTTTACCTTGAATTGATATATTATCATGTAGTGTAATCTTGAGCGTTCCCCCAAGAATAATAATATTCTGTCAGTAGTGTTTTTGCTGATGGCCCCAATGCTTGCTGAGAATATCAGCTGGGTTGAGGGCACCATCTAAAAGATAGCATGTTGAATGCTACCGCTTCTCTCACACAGTGAAATGACAACGTGACAGTTCGTTAATGTAGCTTAGCTTAATGTGGGGAAGAACTGTTCACAACAGATTCATTGTCACCAAACATGTAGCTTTGACCTTTGTTTGGCACACCAAGGTACCTCAAGGTCTGTCAAAGATCCATGATCTGTTTGACACAGGTTTGATGGCTACAAACTTAGAACCATGAGTAGCAGTCTCAACAGTTGACTGCTACTTAGAGAAGAAATCAATTGGGGTTCCATTCAACATATGATGGATAATACCAAATAAAGGTCACCGTGCTATTAGATACGCACGCATAGTGTGTATGCAGTAATGTACAGGATCGGTGATGGACCACACACATCATCACAACTTTCTAGATTTCCTTTTACAAACGTCTATCAACTTTCCTTTACCTTTATCATCCTCCTAGTAAGTCTATTGCTACACAACGTCTTTTACATTGTTTATCACGACCCAATAGCTATGAAAGAAAAAGCTATTCAATGAAATGCATTCAAATGAACGAAATATGAATACGAATACTGCAATATTTTTTAATATGTGCAAAGCCGATTTTGATCGTGTCAATGGTGCTACATCACCGGTTTTGACCATGTAAAACTGTCAAAGGTGTAACGAATGCAACACCAATACGAACGAACTAACTAAGGAATCACTTTTATAGGCAAAATGGCCGCCGCAATTCCTGTTTTTACGATCTATGATGCCATGATTTTATGTCAAATCCCTGACACTGGGAATTTCCAAGGACAAACTGACGCTCAACGTATGGCAGAAGAGCTCTTTGACAACAATTTTGGCACTGCCATGACCAAGTCAATCAAGCAGGTCAACATGGACCTTGCAACGCTTGCATCCTTGACCGCTGTGCAAGGACGAATTGTGTCAAGACCAAGGGCTCAAGACCGAATCAGAGCATTTGTACAGTGGGTTCGCGATGAAATTCGGATGGGCAGGAATCCTGCACAACACCCTTTCCCAGCTGGAGATACATCTACTCTGCTGCAGCGATTGAACTTCCATCAAAAGTATGTCAAAGATTCTAAAACTTTAATTGACAATACGGTTCCACCCAAGTGGAGCAAAGAACAACAATGGAAGCAATGGGTCAAGCTGCTCCGTGACCACCTCCGCGCATATATCGGTGTCAATGGCATCCCCCTTGTTTATGTGGTCCGCGAGAATGCAGCTCAAGACCCAACACCACAAGACGATTTTCTTGACAATTACATCAACATGGCTCTACTTGTTGGAACCGCCTTTATTGTGGATAACAAACAGGTGTTGGCTCTGCTGAACAAATTTATCATGGGTTGTTCTGAAGCTGAAATGGTAATACAGGCGCTCAATACTACTACTGATGATAGAGCTGCTTTCTTTGCATTGAAGGCATTTTATGAAGGTGAAGGCATTTTCGCTCATGATGTCATGGCAGCGAAAACATCATTGCAACACTTTTCTATGCAGGAGAAAAATGTCCAGCTATGTACTGGCAGAAATTTGAACAAATATTAAATAATGCCTATGCAACCATGCATCACGAATACGGACGTGTAATGTATACTGACATTATGAAGCTACAATCTCTCCAACAAAGAATCAAAGCTGACTTCTTGTCACAGACAAAAGCGGCAATTGAAGCTAACATGCATGCTATTCCCATGACTATGTCATATGATCAAGCCATGCGAATGTACCGTTCCAAGGTGTCAGAAAAATTCCCTCCAGCTTCCGTAGCTGCCGTTGCTTGGGGGCGACACGTCAGAGAGAACAATCGAAACACACGTGGGGGAGGACGTGGCGGCGGACGTGGACAAGGTGGTCGCAACCACCACAACAATTCCCGCAATAACCGCCGTTACAATGGAAATCGTCAACAACATCCGGACGAACGCAATATCACTTTGAGTGATGGAAAAGTCATCAAGTACCATCCGAGTTACAACTTTTCTTGTGAACACTTGGACCTGATGACACAAGACCAACGCAATACAATGACGGCTGAAAGGACAGCTTATCGCAATCAAAACAAAAATAACCAGGACAATGCTAGTACCAACGAGAATACAAGAAATATAGCCGCACTGAATTCTCTGGTTGGAGATTTGACCAACCGTTTGACTGTACCAACCGAAATCACACAAGATACTGCTGATACTCAAATCTCCCAAGTCACTACTGGCACCAACGGGCGCTCCATTATTGGAGGACGTCTACAACAAGCCCAACAGCGCCAAAATGGAGGAAGTGGGAGTAATATCTGACTACTACCTGTCAGCCGCAGCATCACCCAAGTTTCATGGATTGTTTGTGTCATCTCCAAATACTCAGCAACGCAAAGACTTGGTGTCCAAGAACCTGTGGCTGGCACTTACGCCGACAATGAAATGGACACAAACGCTGACACTTGTTGCTTGAGCAGCAATTTCATCATTACTGCTTACACACAACGCTCAGCGGATGTGTACGCTTATGATTCAACTCTACCGCCAATGCATGTTCCAATTGTTTCAGGGGCGACAGCATATGATTGTCCAGAAACCGGTTCTACTTTTATTTTGATCATAAACGAAGCGCTCTACTATGGAAACAAGTTGGACCACTCCTTGTTCAACCCAAATCAGATTCAAAGTTACGGTACTCCTCTTTGGAACAACCCATACAATGATGTGCATGAAATTGGGATTGAGGCTACGGACTTGTTCACACCACTACTATCAAGGGGCACCAAGCTACTCTTTGGCACACGTGCTCCCACTAAGCAGGAACTTGAAAAGTGCCATCATAATGAGCTCACAAGTAAAGTGCCATGGGAGCCGTCAACTGTACAACTTGGGAAACTCTCAACGCGACGAAATATTCCTTTTGAAGATCCACGATCAAATGAATCTGAAATGCGCAGTTTAGATCCTGTGCAACACAACTTACAACAATGGCGTGTTGTACAACAAATCAATGCAACTGCTGATAGGTTTCAAGATGTTCCAGTCCGGCCATCATTTGTATCAACTGAACGGCACTCCAAAGTCACCGCAGAGAATCTTTCTGAACGCTTGGGAATCAGCATTGGTCAAGCAAGAGCTACATTAAACATAACCCTGCAACGTGGAACCAGATCAGCTATTATGCCACTTGCAAGGACATATTGAGCCAATCGGATGTTTGAACGTCCACAATTGAAGGGAAAATTTTCTACTGATACTGCCTACTTCAAACGAACTTCTCTTTGTGGTAACATTGCCAGCCAGGTATACTTTCACAAATGTGGGTTTTACAGTTGTCACCACTTGCAGAAAGTAAATGATGTACAGGTTGGACCAACCTTGAACAAGTTCATTTTCAAATATGGTATACCGGATCACCTTACGATGGATGGTGCACCTGTCCAGATTGGACGGAAGACTACATTTATGGATACAATTTGTCAATGCAATATCGACCATCACATTTCCAAACCTTGCACTCCAAAGAAAAACCCGGCTGAAGGTGGAATTTGAGAGTTGAAACGGAGGTATTACCGATTGATCATCAAACACGGTATCCCTGAACGTCTTTGGGACTTTGTCTTGGACTACGTGGTTGACACAATGAATGTTACTATCAATTATTCAAAGTGCTCTGATGGTCGGGTACCTTTAGAAATTATAACTGGAATCACACCAGAAATCACTGAATATCTGGATTTCACGATATATGGTTGGGTGTTCTTTCGCAGCGATGGCGGCTTGGGAGTCAACCACATTGGACGATGGCTTGGAGTTTCGCACCGTGTGGGACCCATGATGACATATTGGGTTCTCCCAAAGAGCGGTATCCCCATTTCCGTAGATACTGTCCAAATGGTAACCAACGCTGAACAGCAAACTGATTCCGTCAAACAACAGATGCAACGTTGGACAGCTGATGTCTCCAAGATAGTTGACGCCAAATCTACATACATCAACTGGGGGAAGGAAGAGATTCCTCATCAAATGATGTTCGATTTTGACGACAAGGATGACGAACTTATGCGCAACTTTGGTATGCTCATCAACCCAGAGACGCTGGAAGATGGCGACTTTGAGGGGACTGAAGAAGCTGCAGATGACCTTGATGCCCAAGATTATACCAACATGGAGATTGGTTTACGGCGAGGCGCAGAAGGCAAACTCCAAAGGGCAAAGGTGAAACGACGGATAGTGGATGAAAATGGAAGACCAATTGGCGTCGCCAGCTCCATCCAATTGCTTGACACAAGACAATATGAAGTGGAGTATGCAGATGGCGGTACTGAAATATTCGCAGCCAAAATCCTTGCTGAGAATTTGCTTGCACAGGTTGACAAACACGGACACAAGCACCAACTGATGGAGGAGATTTCAGACCACCGTAAAAATGCTAAGGCAATCACAAAGAGTGCGGGATCAATGCTCCTCCCTAGTGGACAGACTCGAAAGCGCCAAACAACTGCTGGCTGGGAACTTCATGTGATCTGGAAGGACGGATCATTCAATTGGGTAACACTGAAAGACATGAAAGAATCCTTTCCCCTTGAGGTTGCAGATTATGCCAAGTTAAAGGCTATTGAAGATGAACCAGCATTTGCATGGTGGGTCCCACATGTACACAAAACGCGTGATCGTTTTATAAGCAAGGTCAAATCAAAATATTGGGAACGGACCCACAAATACGGTATCTGCATCCCAAAATCTGTCAAGGAGGCTATTCAAATTGATCGAGAAAATGGTGATACCTTGTGGCAAGATGCCATCAAAATGGAAATGAAAAACAATCAAGTTGCCTTTGACGAATTTGGCGGGGACATCAAAAAGCTAATTGGATACAAACGCATCACTGGTCACATGGTATTTGATGTCAAACTTGGTGAAAACTTCCGACAAAAGGCTCAATATTGCGCTGATGGACACAAAACAGAAGCGCCAGCAGCAGTGACATACAGCACTGTGGTAGCCCAAGATTCTGTGCGAATATTACTCACCATTGCAGCATTGAATGGTTTGGATGTCCAGTGCGCTGACATTCAAAATGCTTTCCTCACCGCACCCAATCTTGAAAAGTGTTACATGATTGCGGGCCCTGAATTTGGAGACAAGGAGGGCAAAACATTCATTGTTAGGCGAGCATTACATGGTTTGAAATCTGCTGCGTTAGCATTCAGGTCCCACCTTGCAGAGACATTGGAGAACTTGGGATTTTACTCATCATATGCTGATCCCAATGTTTGGATGCAAACAGCTATCAAACTAGACGGGGAAGAATACTACGAATATATTTTGTGCTATGTTGATGACATCTTGTGCATGTCTGAAACGCTAAAGATGATATGGAGCAGATAAGCTACAAATTCAAGTTCAAGAAGGACAAGATTGAACAGCCTGAAAGCTATCTTGGAGCGGGTGTCAAAAGAAAGGTTTTAGACGGTCAGCACATGTGGACTATGTCCAGTTATGATTATGTTACAGCTGCTGTGAAGAATGTCAAAGCAACCCTGAAAGACAATCAGAGGTGGAACTTACCAAAGAAAGCCGTCACTCCAATGAATAGCGATTATACACCAGAGCTAGACGATTCAAGTGAGTTAAACGCACATGACCACACATACTTTCAAGAATTGATTGGGGTCTTAAGGTGGGCCACGGAGATCAGACGCGTTGATATTCTACTGAAAGTTTCTCTTTTGAGTCAATACCAGGCAGGGCCAAGGGAAGGACACATGGAACAATTGTTGCAGATTTTTGCCTACTTGGATCAACACCCAAAGATGACCCTATACTTTGATTGGAGAATCCCAAACGCAGATTTTTTTGGAGTCAAGTCATCGTACAAAGAGTTCCGTACTCTATACAGAGATGCTGAGGAACAATTGCCATCGAACATGCCAAAACCAAGAGGTAGGCGAGTGGGAAGCTTGGCATACGTTGATGCCTTGCATGCAGCAAACAAGAAGACTCGTAGATCGCATACCGGCTATGTCATCTTCTTGAATAGGGCGCCTATTATTTGGCACAGCCGGAGGCAGAATACAGTGGAGGCCAGCACTTTTGGGGCTGAATTCATTGCTCTGAAATCATGTATTGAAGCAATTACGCACTTACGCTACAAGTTGCGTATGTTTGGGATCCCACTGGATGAGGAACCAACACAGGTATTGGTGGACAATGAAGCGGTTGTTAAAAACTTGTCACTGGTAGAATCTACGTTGAACAAAAAGCACAATTCGATTGCTTATCATTATGCACGTTGGAATGTGGCAGCTCAGGTGATTGCAGTTTCATGGATTGATGGTGCAATCAATATTGCAGATGCATTTACAAAGCGATTAACACAGATGAGGAGAGAAAACCTTTTTGGTTCTTGGGTTTATTGAGCAACCTATGGATCACATTGATCCTTAGCTTGAGGGGAGCAAATAAAGGTCACCGTGCTATTAGATACGCACGCATAGTCTGTACGCAGTAACGTACAGGATCGGTGATGGACCACACACATCATCACAACTTTCTAGATTTCCTTTTACAAACGTCTATCAACTTTCCTTTACCTTTATCATCCTCCTAGTAAGTCTATCGCTACACGACGTACTTTACATTATACCCTTGGCCGATTGGTCTGTCTGACAGTGGGATTTTATTTGGTGTGGTACTATGTAGGTAAAGCCACCGTAAGGTAGGAATCTGGGCTTGTGTTTGTCACAATGTTTAAGGGCATTGACAAGTTGGACTTGGAACTTTTGGTGATCTTTTGGCATTGGGGTTCCTCTCCCCATATCCACAAGGACCTTGTACGTTGCAAGCAGATCCATCTCGACTTTGGTGGCATGCTTCCAGTTGATGTTGCCATGGAATTTGCCGAGTCGAAGGACGCCATTGTGGTCCTTCTGGATCTTGTAGTTGTACATATACTTTGGTGTAGCAGTATGTAGCAATCTCAGCTTGACTTGATTGGTTGGACAAAGGAATTTCCTCTTGTCCTTCACTATATTTCTAAGAAGTTTACAACCTTGATTTTCTGGTAGGTTATGATTGGGGTTGTCCTTGTCAGTTTCTGACCACTTGTGGATCTCATGGTAAGCCATAACACGTTCATATTCGCCTTTATCAATGTTCAAGCATAGTTGAATGTGTGCAGGCTGCAACAGAGGGAGGTTCTGCTGAAACCCACCTGTATGTCGTACGTAGAAGCTAAAAATGTACCTTTTGTCTCCACAATTTCACCGTTAAAAAAGTGACATGCATGCGCACCCCAGTGACGCAATAGAATCTGTAACAACCGAATCTTGGAATTCAGGCCAACTGCTGAAAAATCCCCCGAATAAACGGACCAAACGGACATTTGTCCGTCTGTCCGATCGGACGTGTCTATCAAGGAAATTCCAATGAATGGTTTCCAAGAGAGCAATTCCAACAGACGCATCTTTTGCGGTGCATCCAGATTTCAAGAGCCATACTGGCGGCACTCTGTCCTTTGGAGGAGGTGCAGCTCAAGTGATGTCAAAGAAACAAAAACTAAACAGCAGAAGCAGTACGGAAGCGG